ATAGATAGATGGCCCTTGCACACCAGTCCTGTGTTAGACATAACAAGGCTGGCCTGGTAATAAAATCTCCCTGTTGGTCTGTGTGCTTGGAATGTTGAGCAGCCTGTTCCCCAAAAAGTAGCAGTCCCAAAGAGGACTTGGTTTCAAAGCCAGGGGACCCCACACTATTGACCAGAAAGGCAGACATGAGCCAGCTGTGTGCTGCAGCCGCCAAGAAAGCCAATGCAATCCTAGGTTGTATCAACAGAGGGACACAATCAAGATCATGTGAAGGTCATGCTAAGGCCACCCTTGGAATTTTTGCATCCAGCATTGGTCGCCACGATGTAAAAAAGATGTTGAGACTCTGGAAAGAGTGCAGAGAAGAGCAACCAGGATGATGAGGGGACTAAAACCTACGATGGACGGTTGCAGGAACTGGGCTTGGCTAGTCTAGTAAAGAGAAGGACCAGGGGAGACAGGAGAGCAGCCTTCCAATATTTGAGGGGCTGCCCCAGAGAGGAAAAGGGGGTCAAGCTGTTCTCCAAAGCTCCTGAGAGCAGGACAAGAAGCAATGGGGTGGAAACTCATCAAGGAGAGGAGGAGGAGGAAAGGAAGGAAGGAAGGAAGAAAGAAAGGAAGAAGAAGAAGAGGAGGAGGAGCAGAGGAGGGAGAGGAAAGAAGGAAGGAAAGAAAAGAAAGGGCAACGTGACCCTGAGAATGAGGAAAGTGTGAGAAAGAAACTCAAAACTAATTTGACTTTGCTGGGTATAAGATGAAATAGAAACTCTGACTGCCTTTGAGATTCTCTGATGACCCCCAGTACAAAAATAAAGCAGTATTGCCTGACTCCCTCGTGCCTCTGTCTTCTCTGCCCTTCCTCAAAGGCCAACCTGATGGGTGCATCCGAGGTGGGACATTGCACCTCCCTCCCTCCCTCCCTCCTTCAGCCCCAAGAAGCCTTCATCCTGGTTGAGGTAACGATCGCTGCAGGTACCACAGGCCAAGAAAGCTGGCTTCTCAAACCTGGCCTGCCGACGGAGGAAGGAAACAAGAAAGCGTTCCTTGAACCGGGAGTTTTATTAGGGAGCCATTCCAGTCCGGTTCGTAGTCCCCCCTCCCTCGATGGCCTCTAGCACCCCTCCCCCACTCTGGAGCCATAGACCTCCAGCTCACAGAGGGTCAAGTACTCTGCTTGGCCAGGGATGACCACCGTCACGTAACGTCCTCGCCGTCCGTTACAACAGATGATGCTGAGAGAGCCGGCGCTGCCATTCGAGATGGACCCACAGCTGCAAAGGTAGAAAATCAACTGACTTGTTGTTAAAGACACACACACACCCCACATGCAACACATGCAGAAAACAGCTGGCATGTTATCCACGCAGGGGTGGCTGCCAGTTCACTTTTGGGGCACCCTCTGGGCCCCGTTGCAGAGAAAGCAGCTGCCTCCCGGCCCCCTTGCCTTGGGTGGGGAGGCTCCTGGTCAACCCTGAAGCTGGCCTGGTGGAAGCCATCTTGGAGCTTCAGTGCTGCCACTCTGGAGCTGAGGGATGTGGGGGAGGGATAGAGATCGCTGGGGTTGTGCGGTCAAAACAAAATACTTTCTCTTGGGAACCAAGGACGTTCTCACACCTGGTTGGAGGAAGGAGGAGGGATGTCACCAGACCATCTGACAGAGCCTTGATTGGGCCATGTGACTGATTGCTTGGGGTTGAAGGAAAAACTTTTAATTAGGTGAAAACCGTGGGGACCTTCAGAGTCGGTTTTCACCAGTACTGTGCCAATATGGTATATCCACGGGTGGGGCTGCTACCGGTTCACACCGGTTCAGCTAAACCGGTTATTAATTTTAATGGCCAGTTTGGCGAACTGGCAAACCCTGGCTGGCCCTGCCCCGCCCACCCCACTCCCATGTGGCCCATTTTGGATGCAGGTAAGTGCAAGGCAAGTGTGGAGGCTCAGGAAGAGCAAGAAATGGGCCCGTTACCAGCTTCCAGAGAGACTCTGGAGCCAGGGAGCCTGTTTTCGCCCTCTTGGAGGCTCAAGGGAAGCCTCAGGAGTCTGGGGAGGGTGAAAACGCCCCCCCTGCCATGGTGCAGGAGGCCGACTAGGCCATGCCCACCATGGTCACACCCACCCAGCAACCGGGCAGAGAACCCGTTGCTAAAAATTTTGGAGGCCACCCCTGGGTATATCTAATAAAGCTATTCTTTGAGGCATCTACCTGCCTCAGAGTTCTTGCTTGCAATGGATCTATTCCTTGGAACCCTGATATTAAACCCACTCCCCTAAATCTCAAGCTCCAACCAGAGCCGCTATTTGGGCTCCTGAGCCCCAGATGCTTACCCAGTCTACTCGGGCAGCAGGAGGACTCAGGGAAGATGGAGGAGAGCTTGGGGAGGAGCCCTAGAAAGGGGTCTACAGGCCTCCTCGGAGGCTCAGCAGGTGGTGGATATGGTGGCAGAGGTCATGCACCAAGTGGGTGCCCAACCCAAAGTCCGCCCTGAATGGCCAGTCACCCAGGAGCTCTACCGCGCAGAGGAAGACATCGGCTGCCAGGCTGCATTCCAGGCGCCAGTGAGAGATCACCCAGTCACCTCGATGGGGGAGGCAAGAACAACGCTCCTCACGTGGAGGTTGATGGGCCCCCTGGAATCTACCTGCCTTGGAATTTTGTTTGATATGGGTGTCTCACTCAGAATCCGGACACTCCTTACATTGGGTTGCACTTGCCGTGGTGGGCCCCACAGTCTCCCACGTGGATCTGGGCCCCCTGAAGCCGCCCTGAGCAGCACTCCTGGCGATTCTTCACCACCACAGCCGAGATGGTGTAGGAGGCGCCCAGATCCAGGCTCCACCAGGGCTCTTCCTCTGCCAGGGTGTGGCTGCAGGAGCCATGGCGCCAGTCCCCATCGCGGTCGCCATCGATGGCGCTCTCTGCTCGGCTGTAGACGGTGCCCCACTGCGGGTATGTGGAGGACTGAGTGGCAGGCTGGCCTCTGGCCCAGTTCCTGGCTGAGGGGCAAAAGGAGCCATGGGTTGGTTGACCTCTTGGCTGTCCGTCAATTTCTTAGACTGAGAGTGAAGGAGGGGGAACAGGAGGGGGAAGGAGGAGGTGGACTGAGGGGTCCTTGGTGCTCTCTGAGCTTGGTTGTTTTCTTGCAGACATTTCATTACCCAACTAGGTAACATCATTAGTGCTAGAAGGGAGTGGAGCTGGAGGGGGAGGGGGAGGGGAAGACGGAGGAAGAGGAGGAGGGGGAAGAGAAGGAGAAGCGGGAGGGGTATGGGGTTTGGTGCTCTCTGAGCTTGGTTGTTTTTTTGCAGACGTTTCATGACCCAACTAGGTAACATCTTCAGTGCTAGAGGGTGTGGTGCTTGCAGAGAGGAGGAAGAGGAGGAGGAGGAGGAGGTGGTGGTGGTGAACAGCCAGAAACCCCCTTTCATCATGCCCCAGCATTTATTGGGACCCCATGGCAAAGAAGACCTCCCCTCTACCTCTTGGGTGGCTCCTACCTCTTCCTCCGTGCTCTTAGGTGAATGTTCTGGGGAGGGGGCTGCAGAGGAGATAAAAGCAAGACCCCAGGAAAGGCACTGCAGCAGAGAAAGAGCTTCCTAGAGAGGTTCTGGAGGAGGAGGAGGAGGATTAAGCCAACGCAAGAGGAGGAGGAGGCATCCAGCATCCTCAAGTGAGGAGCCCGCATTCCCAAGACCCAAAGGGGAGGCCGCTTGGCAGTGGACTGGCAGGGATAGACCCTGGAAAAACCCAGGGAGCTACTCTGGGGAAGCAGCTCCCAAGCACAGCCAGCCTCTTTTAAGGTCAGGCTGCAATGCCCCGATGGCCTCTGCCATCCTACGGTGTAGATGGAGGTGGGCATGGCTGTGGAGGCATCTGTCCCCAGGTGGGGAATGGTGCACAATATTAGTCCAGCATAGATGGAGGGCAGGAGGCTGGGGGTGGGGGGCGGTCATCCTTGAAAACCTCCAGTGTTGGAGCAACCACAACTTCTGGTGGCAAGCTGTTCCCCTGGTTAGTTGTCCTCAGTGCTAGGAAGTTTCTCCTTAATTCCTGGTTGCTTCTCTCCTTGATTAGTTTCCATCCGTTGCTTCTTCTCCTGCCTTCAGGGGCTTTGGAGAATCGATTGCCTTCCCCCTCTTCTTTGGGGCA